ACGTCCCGTTTTGGCAGGCAAAGTGCTGCAGGAGTCCATCAAGGCTGAAAACGGGGCACAGGGCCCCCTCGTTTTGTCCGGCAGGGTGCTGCAAGAGGCGTCCGTGCTGTCTCCCCCTCCCCCCCGCCAGCCAGCCTGCAGAGGAGAACTATAATGCTGATCCGGCCCTCAAAGAAATCCAATTTGAAACCCTTGCTCTGAAGCACAAGGCCTTGATATCTAAGGCCAAGTGTTTCTCAACCTTGGTCTTAAGACTTCAACTCCCAGAATTCTCCAGCCGGCCTTCAGGTGCTGACATGTATTTGTGAAGGCTTCAGTGCCTTAGGGTCTTGTGATCGCCATTTGCAACCTTCCCAGTCGGCTTCCTACAACCAAAGTCAATGGAGGAAGCCAGATTCGTTTAATGACTGCATGATTCATTTAACTGAAGTGATACACTTTACAGCCATGACAAAAAAGATAATACAATCGAGCACATATCATTTAAAAAACCATCTTCTTCAGCAAAGGAAATTCTGGTCCCAATTGTGGTTGTACATTGTGGACTACCTGCATAAAAGTAGGCCCGATCTTTAGGGTTAACCATGCTCTCTTCCAAACCATTGAAGGGTGTGAAAAATGGAAAGGATGTGACATTATTTTTTTGGGTGTAATCCCTCTATATTTCTGGAAACCTTTGCTGTGTGAAATGAGCCAGCCTAGTCTGTAATATGTTAAACATTTATTTATTCCAGCCTGCACTGGGAAGGTTTCAACATATTGTATTTTAAAACAAAGACTCTATATATTGCTGCTAAACGTTTTCTTCTTTTATTTTAAAGGGGAAAAAACCTATATTGAATGCCGATTGTCTGCCTTTGTTATCAGCTTTGTGGTAGTTTTACTCAGCAAACAGAACTTAGCTGAATGGATTTTTATTTTTTTAAAGACCACATCAACAGGATTGCGGTGTATATCTTGAAATGTTCAGGATTTCAAGCGTTTTAGGGATGAACTACATGGATCTGACAGACTATCCCAAAAGAACAGGCACAGCAGTTTGGGGCCATAATGATTTAAGCTTTCTGATTATTTAAGGGACGGAGGAAGCAGGGAGAGTGCGGCATCATGGAAAGCAGAGAGAAGACCCACCAAAAATCCAGAACAGGAAAAGCAAGAAATGGCTTTTCAGAGGATTTTGTTTGCTTCTCATTCCCATCTCTTTCCCTTTTAATTGATTTCTCCTTTTATTGATTTATTGCTTCCTTAAAACAAAAAGGAACAATTTTGAACAGGGTGAAGGGGGAGGGAAAAAAGCAGGGGGGTGGGAGAAAACCACCTTATTGTGCAGCATAGTTTTACTGCAGGAAGGCATGGCACATTTTCCGGGAGTAAAATCTATTTGAGCAAGGGGGCAGCTGGGGCTCAAATCCTAGGAGGTATTTCTGAGTGAAGGAATTTCCTTCCTATTTCAGTCTGCAGAATAGGATTGGCAGCAGGGCTCCCCCTCCATGCTGGGAAACACACAGCAGACAGAAATCCGGCCACTGCCCCCTCACCATGGAAAAAGGCATCTGACAAGCTTCACATTTGCAAAAGGCACCCAAAATAAGACAGTTGCTCTATTCCCCACCCAACACACACGCACGCACCAGTTTTTGTAGAAAACTCCCCCAACTGGTTTTATGCTTGTGCTGTTGCTACCACCACATACATTCATTTTTGCTGATTGCTGAGCTGGCCTTACATGCTTTATATTGTAGGCAGGAAAAAAAAAGCAAAATATTTCACTGAAAATAGAGTTCACTAAACAGAGCTGCTTGTGCAGATAAGTATGTTATACATTGCTTTTGTGCTGTAGGAAGTTATCACCCAGCCCTCCCAGAGAAATTAAATATCCTGGGAAATATTGAAAAGGCAGAATATTTCTCTGGATGGGAAAAGAAAGAAACATGTTTTAAAAGACAGANGGGGGGGGGGAGATCAGAACTATACTTAGCATTAACATTTAAGATTCAATTTTCCAGATCCATGAGCGAAGAGCCCCTACCGCCCCCTCTCTCGACAACTTCTGCAACCCCTCTGTCTCACATGCCCAAGGGGCCCCCATCTTCCAATTAGTGCTGGAGCCAGCTGCAAACCATTGCTGGCATTTATATATTTTCAAAGGCAGAGAGACCATTATGTCTTCCAGCATGCCTTGCTGCAACCAGAGACCTTTTCAAGATTAGGCCCAAACCTAATTTAATTAAGTCTGCAGAATGCTTCCTGTATCCCTTATCCCAAAGACTGTAACAAGCTGCAGACGAGGATTCCTTCCACTGGCCCTGCCATCTCCAATCGGTCTCCTTCCTTTAACATGAAGCCCGAAAATGGCTCATTATTTCTGGTCATGAAAACTTGCTCATTATTTCTGCAATCTTTCAAAGGAAACATTCTCCAACTTAGCTGCTCTCTAAACATCTTAGATTACTACCTGGCAGTTATTGCCCTTCAATTAAAAAAAATAAAAAGGCTTATTTGCTGTTTGAATCAAAAGGCCTAGTTTCCAAATGCTTTCACCGTCTTCATTCCTTGTTCCTTCCCAAAAGTTCTCCAAGTGCACCATTTAGTACTTATATGTAGGATGCAGTGTGAAGAACCTTCTGAAGCTATCAAGATTTTGCATTTTTGTGTATCTAGTAGTTTCAAGAACTAAATGCTTCCTAGTTTTAAAAACTGCTATTGAGAAGAAACAGAACATATTACAGGAATAAAGGTAAAGGTTCCTCCGCACATGTGTGCTAGTCGTTCCCAACTCTAGGGGGCAGTGCTCATCTCCGTTTCTAAGTCAAAGAGCCAGCGCTGTCCGAAGACATCTCCGTGGTCATATGACCAGTATGACTAAACGCCGAAGACACTGTTACCTTCCCATCAAAAGTAGTTCCTATTTTTCTACTTGCATTTTTTATGTGCTTTCAAGCTGCTAGGTTGGCAGAAGTTGGGACAAGTAACAGGAGCTCACTCGGTTATGCAGCGCTAGGGATTCGAACCACTGAACTGCTGACCTTCTGATCGACAAACTCAGCGTCTTAGCCACTGAGCCATCGCTTCTCTCATTACAGGAATAGCTACTTTTAAATCTATTAAAAAAATCTATAAAATCTAAATCGGTAAAAATGTAGAATGACGGAATACTGTATCATAATTGTTTCCACCCACAGAAGCTCACACTAAGTGTATCTTCTCTCTTCACTAATTTGAGGAGGTCTTTGAATTCTTCGTTCCTTCCACTTATTTAACCAGGTCCAAAACAATGAATTGGTAATTAGATGGTATGGTGAAGCTACATTATTTCCATTTCAGAAAATAACAGAATTGACACACAAAATTTGTTTCATGGTAAAAATCCAAATTCAAACCAAAGGATTTTGGTTTGAAATTTAAGTGGAACGTAACTGACTGGGACACCAGAATAATAACAGAATGCAATTAAATAATTTACACAGGATGCAAGTCTTTATTTATAGGATTGTTTTAAATTAGTGGCCCAGACATTCTTCCTGCCAACCGCACAAATCTCAAGATCTGTGTGGTAATGATTCTCTATATTTCTAAGCAGTTTGTTTCTAAACATTCCATAATTCCTCACCAGA